TTATTTCATTTTGATTTAATGAGAGGAGCCTTCCCAGAAGTCGGTGCTGACAGCTGCCTTTTGGCAGAGTCACTGGTGGAGGAGCTCAGACACCCTGTGAGCCACCCTTAGAAAGGAGCAGAGGTTGGCACTGCCCAGGTTCACACCTGGGGTGTATTTCAGGCAGCTCAGCTGCTGAGCCACCCCAAATATCCTCCTCTGGGACCTCCACATGAACTGTGCTTCACTGAAACAGCTGCCACTTGTGCCACACCACAGTCTGACCTGGAAGCTTTATGTACTCCCAGTATGTTATTTACCTTTCCAACTCAAAGCTGTCATYGATGTACACAGAAATATCCAGCTTTTTTGGGCAATCTGAAAGAACCAACTTGGACATGATTAGCATGGCTCAGGTTGGAAGATCATCTGYCCAACACCCCTGCAATGAGCAGGGACGGATTCAACTAGATAAGGAGAGAAACATGAAACACAGATCTTAACTATACCCTCTCATCATGATGTAAATCTAAATACTTGTAAAAGGTAAAAAAAAATATAATACATGTATTTCAATGGTTTGAAAAATCACAGAAGAAATTTTACTCTTCTGTTTGGAAGTCTCTGCTCCCTAAATTCCACACTTCAAAGGATCACAGAATTTGGAAATCATTAACTTAAAAAACAAACTAATGCTGATGACCACAATTTTACTGAAACAAGGAAGGTCTGAGAATGAAACAAAAGGCAAGTTTCTCAGATGACATGACCTGGCCTGACACAAAATCCATCCCTCACCCATGGAAAAAGCTGTGCCACAGTCAGGACAAGCCCCTTACCCTCTGTGAGAACGAGAAGCTCCCTACCCTATTCTCCAGTCATTCCCAGTGTGTTTTGCTGGGGTGGTGATGCTTCTACCACCTGCTGATTGCCCCATCAAGAGCACTGAAAATCTCAGCTATTTCTAGAACACTGAAGTTCAGCAGATGGCTCCAATCTTAACAGCAATTGGTTGATTTTTGAGGAAAAGGGCTATCAAGCATTCAAGTCCCTCTTTTTGTCTCTTTGGATGTTCGTTTATTTTTTCCTGGAAGAGATCAGAAGAGATAATCCAAAGCAAGGGAGTTTGAGTCAGAAAGCCAAAGTAAAGCCTGTGCTGTGTTTCTGCCTGCTCATGCTGAGGTTTGCAATGTATAGGAGTAAATTTCATGTTATGAAATAAYCATCTTAATGAAAGCAAGGGAAACKCCAAGCCTGGATTTCCTGAGAAAAGGCCTTCGACATTTGACATTACAAACCAACCTCACTGAGTCTCCTTCATGTCCCTGACGCATCTCAGTAACCTTCAACTACTACTGTTCATTTCAGAGAAGGCAAAGAACTATTTTTAATTTCAGAATGTTAATGATTTGCATTCTTTTCTATTCCTCTATTATATTAACAGGTTTTTTTTTTTTTTTTGTTTTTAAACATTGACACAACTGGGAGCTCTTGTTCCATACTCCTTCAAAGAGAGACACACATTTAAAAATAGTATTTGCCATATAACTCTTAATTTTATGAACTTTGACATTATTTATATTGCATAATTTAATGTTGTGCATATTAGAGACCTTAGGTTTGGAGACATTTTAGTAGCAAGGGGCAGAAAGTCACATCTGATGCTATAGCTTGGGATATTGCAGATGACTTCTGGTGTTTGGCACACCAAAAGAAGTCTGAGGCTTCCTCAAAAAMCTTCCCAGTGCTGGGCAGGAGAACMCRGAGTGGCTGACTCAGAATGGACATGTTGATAGTGGCAGACATGAAAAAATGGCAGGAAAGTGCCTTGCAGCRTGGGCTGCATAAATCCTTCTTCAAGGGAAAGATTTCCTGTCAGGTCAAACCAAAGCAGACAAATGTTAAGTGCATTAAATTGTTTAAGGCCTTAAATTTATACAGTGTCCAAATATCAGGCCCTCGATGGTGAGGGCAAGGTAAAAACTTGAATAAAGAGGCTGAATCGTTACAAATTCAGTGATTTCAGCTGGACCAAAGCAGGCATGGGACAGCACAGAAGTGGGTCTGGCAATGCAAGAAATAAGGACAGGGGTACAGCAGTGCCCAGTCACTACAGTGATGTAGCACAGACCTGGGACCCCTTAAGGAAAAAAAAAATATAAATTGCAAATAGATCTCCTGATGGTGTTAATTAATGTTAAGAGAMTGCATTGCTAAAGGCTATGGTACAAATACAGGATTTCCATGSTGCTTACATACATTACATCCTACAGTTTATTTACATACTTCAGTCATCAATAACCCTTCTCCATTACAGCTATAAAATATTGGATATAGTTTCTTATATAAAAAAGTTAAAATTATAGGTKGTCTTGCTGTATTTTTACTTTATTATATCTGGGAAAACTTGCACAAGAACAGTTTTGTGGAGTACTAGAAAATCACTCCTTGTTTTACAGGAGTGCTGATCAAAGAGGAAACTGCCGAACATTTCCAAGTGAGGAAGAGTCAGTGCAGGCTGGCAGTGAGGTGTGAGCACTCTGTCTCTGGAGCACTGCAAACAGTGCTTTCACAACACAGAACCAAAATATAATTAGATTTGTTTCAAGGGACAGGGCAAGCATTACAAATTCGGGAATTTCTGCCCTTTTTCCTTTAATCAAACACTACTGGTCAATAATAAATTCAGATKATTTACTATTTCTGGCAGTTTCAACAGGTGAACAATATATTGTTTTTTACTATTAAGATGAAAGCACTCTTAGCCCCTGCAGTAGGCACTGGGTGACTGTTCCCTCCTCCTCTGTGGCTTTTCTAGTTCTGGGYTACACTGATGACTTTCCACTCTCACTAATACATTCTGTATTTCCTGCAAAAAAAAACACCAATTCCCATGGCACAATCCTATAATTGCTATGGAATGAAAATTAAAAAAAAAATCAAAACAAAACCCAAATTCAAGCCTACYTCATTAGTAATTTTACTGCCTTTATATCTATTTTGTATTTACACAATATTTGAACTTTGCTATTGAAAATACAGAAATCCTGCTTGGTACCATGATTTGGAAGTGCSAAGTCTAAATCTGAAAACTGGGTGTCAGTTGGTTTCATTGAGTAGACATCAAAAYAAAGGAAGCATAATCTTGCTGTAACTTCAGCAATAATGCAGTAAAAAAAATCTATCATTTTATATTTACATCWAGATAAAGAACTATAGTATTCTATGAATATTTTTAAAATAAAATTTAGATAAATCTTCTTCTACTTAAGGAAATCTAAAAATCCAGCTTTTTGACCACAAAATGTCTCAGAAAATATACAGAATGGGTTTGTTGACCTGTTAGGCTGCTGAAATAAAATKAAAATAAAAATAAATCACAAAAGSTGAAAAATCTATASTAAATATTTGCTTTTTCCAGGTATCTTTGAAGATGAATTTTTAAAATTCATGGCAAGATAATAAATCACTTTATAAGCTCATACGTTTCCCAATGGGCAAAGAGTTTACAGGGAAATTTAATTTTATTGAAAGGCAATTGATATTAATGCCACTTGCAAACCCAGTTTTTATTCCAGGTCTGCTCCTTCAAGCTCCAATTTTATTTACTGCAAGCAGGACTCTTTCAGAATTCTTCTTTGGTATTCATTTTCAGAATTTCTTATAAGAGTAATAAACATTCAAGTAATTTCCAGAAGGAGACTACAGGAACCTGGGGATAAGCTGGGAAAAGGAATCCAGATTTTCTCCCTACTTACATGACAAGTGAATTCATGGAACATTTCAATTTGGGAGCATATCATGCACACGCCTGGTCATAAGCACATGCCATAAACTCATAGTTTTCTCAAAATTCACACTTGAATCCTGCAAAAATTGCAACATTTCAGCTTTGGGTCTTGGGGTACTGAAGAGTTTTTTAATGGTTTAATTTTTAATGGTTAACACTATGAAATATGTCCATACTTACCTACAATTTCCTATTTCAAACGCTGGAATTGTGCTACTGGCTTCAATTATTTTAAGGTTATTTTGGATTGTTTTTGAAAAAATTMWAAACAGAAATAATTTWAAAAAGAGATCAGGATATACACTACAGTATTATGCTGGAGACACAGGCTTTCTCTCTGCTCAGTTCAGAGAAAATTCCATTTATTTGGTCAGCTGCTCTCCCAGTTTGTTTGAATGCAATGCTGTGTGTGTAAATTTTCACACCAGGCTATACCTGGGACTTCATAGGCCAGATAAAATTTTTAATCACGTTGCATGTAAACGACCGAGTTCAGAGCCTCCTCTAGGGGGATTACAGACTGTTTCCAAGGCTGGGAACAGATATAATTTTAGGAATGAATTGTTTTTTTTCAATGACTTGCATCCCTTCCAATCCACGAGTTCACTGGGACCAGAAGTAAAGCAGMATTTGGCCTACCATTTCAGCTGTTTCAGTACCACTTCCATACGGATCCTTTACACAATTAATTGCCAAACTTCAGAGAAAATGTTGCCCCATTCACTGCAAAAYAGGAAGGTCCACAGAGGAAAACAGTTGCATTAGAGACCCACACAAACAGCAGCAARGCTGCCCAGTTGGATGTTTTCAAGCCTYGTTGTTTTCCTCTGYAAACARTGACAGTTTGGGTAAGACCTGAAGYGATGCTCTTAACAAATAATACACTAGTCTGTCATGTGGTTAATATTAACATCTCTCTATTCAAACATGCTGAGAACTGAATAGAACAGTTAACATAGAACAGTCACACATCCTTGGCTGAGTACAAGCTCGGATCTCTGACACGAACCAAAGACATCCTCACCGTTTCAGATCTCCAGCTACCACCCAGTTCAACATTTCATTCTCTTAAATACATTGCTCGCCTCCTCTTTCTGGGTCTTTCGGGGGTGMTGCATGAACACATTCTCTCCCTACAGGCATTGCTTATGATATGGTTCTTTCTTCAGCTGAAATCTTGCTGTGTGTTTCCATTGCGTTGCCAGAGGTGAATTTGCAGAGTTTGGGGGAGAGAAGATCTTGCATCTGAATTGAAAAGATTCCATTTTTAAACATCAATTTGGACAGGATTTTGCACTGTATTGCAGAGAGACCATCTCAACGAAATTAATGGTGAACAATTTATTAATTGTGATCACCCTTTGCAAATTGTTGAACCAGAGCTTTACACAGTACCCAGATTTTATTTTATAGGTATGTTCACAGGGCTTGTGGGCAGAGGCAGCTCCCTTTGCTCGTGTCCTGAAATGGGGGATGCAAATGGTGTTGACAGAAAAGTCAAACAATCGTAGGGGTGCAAAGTTGAGCCCCAACTCATGCACCCTGCCTTTCACAGGGGTTTTCTGGTGTGGGCTTGGGGCCAGCTCGGTTCACTCACAGTGGGATTGTGCCCAGCAACAGCAGGAAAAGGTTCCGGGGAGACCAAACCCCATGGGGATCCCACCTCACTGCCCCCAAAAAAGCTCTGTGTCCCTGCAGAAGGGAGCCTGAACAAGCCACACTCCGTCCYGGGGCACAGAACAATAGTTTTTCCTCAAATATATTTCTGTTGAAAACACACAGCAAAGATTACAGCATAAAAAATTCTGTAAACAGGACAATTTCATCAACTTTGTCTTTAAAAGATCCCCCAAAACCACAAAAGCAACCCAAAGTAAGACTTGCTTAATGAAGACTGTGAATAATAAATTTTTTTCTGCCTTAACAAAAAGCAAAAAAAAAAAAAATGACATACACCTTCAGCATTTCTTTTCCAAATTTACTTGACAGAGGTTAAAATATTGCTTTATTCTGACTCAACATACAACAGCACTGTGTGATCAATTGTGCTATTTTGGGAAGTCTTGAGACTTGTGAACTAGAAAGTCTYGGGCATATTAATAAATTTAACAATTATTTTGCTTCAAAGGAATATTTTAATACATTCTGCACATACTGTAATTTTTGTAAATCCATCTCCTGACACTAACCAGGGAAGGCTATTTAGCAATTATTTATTATAGTTGGTTTCTTCCCCCGAGAATAAGCAGATATTTAATAAAAACAGTAACTTGTGTCACTGGACCCAATCCATTGCACTGTTGGCACGTTTTGTTACAATTTAAGGGGGAAAGAGGGACTCAAAAGAAAACAAATACAAAAAAAGTGTTGATAATGGGATTACGATATGGCAACCAGGGAATGAAACTTCCTCTCCAAGGCCTTGATCCCCTGCAGGAATTCACTTGGTAGAAACCATCTGCTCTTACAAAGCTCCATTAGAGTCAGATCTCTGCATGCCTGGGGGTCTGCCCATGCTGAACCATCTGCAGGGTTGAAGCTTTAAAGTTCACAAGCCTAAGCCATAATTAATTAAAGAGACTGGAGAACTGAATGCAGGGACAAATTAGGCAGTGTGGACACTTACTTGGCTGGGTTGTGATCGTATTGGATCTCCCCGACTCTCCTCCAAACAAGCCATAATAAAAAATAAGTTTAAAAAAAATACATACACACTGAGAGGTACTCCTTGAGAGCTTACAAATGCCTTCAAAGTGTAAAAGTTTAGAAACGTCGAGGGGTGCTAACGAACAATGGAGTTTGTGTTTCCACTTAAAAAAACCCAAACCAGAAACTAAAACCAAACCTGTTGTAATACAAACTTCTGCATTTTCTCTTCTTCACTCTCCATCAAGGCAGCTCTGATGGGGAAAGTTTAGAGATGGAGAAGCTGCGGGCACCTGACCACTGAATCTCCACAGATCCCAATCCTGCTCCCACTCTTGGCCAATCCCAAAGCTCCTAAATGATTCCACTGACTTTCTTGGGCTGACTGACACATCAAATGAAGGTTGAGAGTACAGCATCTGCTCAGAGCAGGGATGTTGCCGTCATCCCACAGCAGGTACCAGAACTCAGAAGGTGTCTGTGTGCCTGTTATCATGAACGTTGAATCAAGAGCAGAGGGGAGAATGGACTGGATCTGTGTTGGGSTCAGGGGACGTGCTCCCCAGGGCCTGAATCCCTGCCCAGCAGCTCGCTGCAGTGCTGCCCTGGAACCAGAGATGCATCTAAGAGTGGTATTTGGCTTTTCCTGACAAAAAGATGCATAGCCCAAGCCTTCGGACAGCCGAACAGAACCACGGTAAAATCCTCTGGAACTGAAACTGTAATCCTGCCAAGAAAGCACCTGAAAGCACGCTTCATCCCTCCTGGAACTTTTCCCTTAAAAAAATATTTTGTTAAAAAACACTATGATATGAGGGCGATTGACTATTTGGTTTCTTCTAAGTAGATGCTCTTAAATTAATGCATATAAATAATTTGTATTTAACTTCCTCCCTTCCTGTTTAGCAAAGCATCGAACGCACAGACCTCTCGTTTCCCCCTCCCACAACCCCCGCACAGAGTCACTTGGTCAATACCGAGTCTCTTTGCGTTTCACTTTTTAAGACAAATTGTGCCTCTTGCTCTGGCTTGGCCACGGGGCTCATGGGCAGGAAGGCCGTGTTCTCGCTGGCGCTGCTCTCGGCCGYGGCGCTCGCCAGCTCCGAGCCCTCCGCGCGCCGCGCGTCCCGCAGGATCCGGATCTGCTCCTGCACAGTTTCCAGCAATATTTTCACTTCGTGCTGTTCCGCTATAAGACAATTACTGACTGGGGAACTCACATTGACAAGTTCAGCAGAATAGGAGTTTTTGCACCATTTGATGCCTGTTACTTCGGAAACATTTTGCATTTGCATGCAGGCTTCGTCCAAGCCCACAGACGGGATGATGGGAACGGAGTTGGCCCTTGAAGAGGAGTAGCYGACCAAGTCCTTCTGATCCACGCTATTAAAATATGGGGTTGTCTCTCTTGAAGGCAGTTGCATATTTATTGAAGTATTCTGAGGAGTTTTTAAACCACTGGACGAATACCTGGAAAGAGAAAAACAGAGTTCTCGTTGTACATCRGGTGGGCAGATGCAGCCAGCAGCGGGCACACTGTGAGATTCAGTGAACTGTGCTGAGCAGACACACACCATTTTATCCTGCAACAGAGGAGCACTTGGCCGTGGTGGGGCCCTGAGGGAAATCACAGGCACTGGAGACTGGTTTTGCTTCTCAAATCTGCCAGTAGCAAAGTACTGCTTTTCTCTCAGTCTCATTTTGCCCACCAGTATGTGAGAATAATGGAAATTCTTTTTAAAAAAGATTTCAGAAGTTATAATGCATTACTAATTTTCTTTTGAAATGAAATTTGGGATTCTATTCCTACATTTCTGATTGGGGAAATGGATGGATACTTTCTTCAATGTCAAATGGCTGTTTTAGGAAAACACTTTAAAAAAGCGCAGATAAACACACATGSCTGTGTAGTCTTTATTTACATAGATACTATTATTGTCTCTAGTCCCCTTCAAACAAAGAGAGCATCTAAGAACAGTGTACCTCTGAAAAATGTTTTTCAATAGCCCATCCTTGTAATGTTGGCCTGATCGGTTTTATTAGATTTCATCTGGAAATAGAGCTAATATATAGGGCTTGAGCAAATGTCTGTGTTCTCTTGATACTGTAATAACATTTGAAAAAAAAATCCTTTATCCTCCACCAATGTATGCTATAACACAATTTTATTTATTGTGAGGCAACTTGGCRAATTTTTATCAACAGTTCCATTTTGTTTCAAAACCCAGCTCTGTTTTTTTTACAAGAAATACTTTAAAAAAACCAGAAATAGAAAGTATACTAAATATAAAATAAGGGGAACAATGACCAAAAGAAAAAAAGGATGTTTCCCATCTGAAAGCACTATTTCTAGAAATATGGTGTTTTAAGAGTTACTATATTAACARTCATGATTGCTGAGCACCACAGACATCACCTCAGCATCAGAACATAATTTATTTATAATCAGCTTATCACTATTTAATAAGGCAAGCTAATGGTGAATCTAATATGTTTTATCCATGGATGAGGAGAGCACCATTTAGATCTGGTGTGCATACAGGTGCTCTGACATGAAGGGTGTTACTCCTAAAGCTCCTTCAGCCTGCTGGAATGTCCTTCTATTCACACGTGCCTCGCTGCTTTTTGGAACGAGCAGGAAAAGTTAAGGAAAAGAAACTGAATCGCATGAACCTGCTGTAGTCCAGCATTTACACACAACAGGAATTGACTGGAATTTCCAGCGCCATCCCCCTGGTGAGGAGTGAGGCAGGAGGGAGCAGGAGATAACCTCAGGCTCATTTCCAGAGAACACCACTGACCTGTCATTAACTCATCTGTGGAGGTGCTGGCTTTGCACAGCAGCTCCACCGCCCCCTGCACGCGTGGAGCCCGGCACAACCTCACACCAGGACTCTCCTGGCAGCCCCACAAGGGCATCTGCGAGCTCTGAGATAAGGAGGAAGGGCTGGGAACTTTGCTGAGAGATGAGGGAAAGAGATGATGCTTTGGGAGGTGGGAGCCTGGGGAGTAACAGAGCGAGCAGCTTCCTGGGGTGTGTGCTACAACATCTTGTCGGTGCTGTGCAGCTGTGGCTGTTTTACATCTGACACCAGCCTTGGTTAATTATTTTGGCACTAAGCTTAGACACACCTGGAGCCGTCCCTGGACRGGCTTTTTACACCAGCTCGTGAAATACTGATCAGGGACATTATTCCCAAGAGAGGACAATTAAAAAAAAAACAAATGAAAACAAAACAGTGCAGACCTTTGGGTTGTGCCCATTCTTGTTTCCTTTGCTTATATATAATTGTTCAAACGACTATAGCTGGAGAGATCGCATCAGTTGCATTAGTCCCTTTTTTGGTAATTCAGGCCCTAAATATATTCTGGGCTGCACCCTGAAAACAAAGGGAGTGAATGTTTTTAATGAATTCCACATGCAATGTATGTATCATATGGATGATATATATGCAAAAAGAAGAAAAGACTGAATTAAAATGGGTTTGGTGAGAAAACAGTAACATTTGCCAGTTCCACAATAGAGATTCAATTATTCTCGGTATTTTGAAAGCTAACTGGCAGCAGCAGTGACATGTAATGCAATGCCTGGCATATTTCCACAATATTTTCTGAAATGCAGATAGACACACCAATTTTATGCCAGAATTACGTGTTTCTGCTCTGCGCTCACAAGGCTTTCAAAGGAGAGCTGAGGYTGAATTAAAGTGCATACACCGTGTGCAACAGGTGAGGTATTAAACTAGAAGGGATATTACATCTAAACCATGGGAGACTGGGCTTTTGGTTAATTACAAACTGATCCATGCTTCTATGTGTGACACCAGACTGCTGCTGTTTTCAATAGATTGAGACTTAGAACTATAATTGCAGAACCTTAATTACATTTTCCTGTAATTAACTTTCCCYGAACCACAGTTCCTCCAAAGAAATGTATCTGGGCTTTTATCTGAAAAATTATTTTGTCTGAATAAATTAATTCATGTGCATGTGTCTCAAAGTGCAGCTCTCTTTCCACCCTCTTCCTAAAACCAAGCAACAAAAGCAAACATTTATAAATATTCAACAGTAATTATGTTATACAGTGTGTAAGAGTCTAAATTAAAGAATGAAACTAAAAGAAATACAATAATTGTACTGCCTCCTTTAAGAATAGATATTAGAATTAGAAGGGAAAGAAAATTAAAATATGGAATGGATTTGATTTAACCCARTCCCAGCAGTTCTGCTCTGAGCCTTGTGGCTAAAGGTGTGCGGTGTGTGAGCTGACATCAAGGTCCATTAGGATGRATGGGAATCATTCCAGGGGCTCTGCCAGGTTTGGGTCAGCCTTATAAGCACTTTGATATACACACACCTCCCATTTTCTACCCGTTGATACRACTGAACTTCAGCCAGGCTGCTGGTGGATGATTAGAAACATAAACCACTTTGGTTTGTGCATCCCTATGGGGAAAGATGGATGTGAAAAAGGAAAAGATAGGGAGTAGTTTAACTTCTGCAGGGGACAAGRGAACTTTTTGTTTGGGCTGGAAATCCTTTTAGAATACCAACACTGTGAAACCAGCAGATATTTAGATGGCAAATGGCCTCAGTGCACAAAATATGGATGAAGTGCTTCAGTGGATTGCAGCCAGACAGGGTCACAGCCTGGTCCCAAAATCAAATTTTGCAAATTTAAAATACAAGCCAGTACATGATGATACCTGTAACATCACACACCGCTTTCCCAGACAAGAATAAATACAATTGCCCACAGTTTGCTTTTCTGCCTGGGAGGAGGCCATGGCCCTTGCCAGAGCCTGTGTCATTCGCCYCTGCTGCCAGACAGGCAAGGCTGCCAGCCTGCTCCTCTCTGGAAGGGGTGCCATTTCACTRGGACATTGCCACCAGGAATTGTATGCACGTATCATAAAAATGAACAATAATATATTTACTGCAAGAGGCGAGAAACAATCTTTTCCTCAGAAGAAGCAAATAATAACAATGACAGAAGTGTGAGTCAAACTTATTTAAAAGAAGTCACCAGACACCCAACCCCACAAGTTTCACCTGTAAGTCACAGTGAAAAGTTTCACTGCAATTTACAGGTGAAACTAGTGGGGCTCTTATTCCATTCCAGATATCACTCATACTTTTACACAAAATATGCTTTTAACATTCTGGAAAGTATGTGGAAATCTACAGGGATATGTAAAAACTATGCAAAATATCTCAGCAACTGAAAAAGACTTCAAAGGCAGCTCTAGGTTCTCAGGAGCACTTCTGAAACCCAGACCTTATGTAAAGCTGAACTCACAATGTTCTAATAAACTGAATTAAAATCAGAAAAAAAACAGTGTATTTTTTGTGCATTGTCAAAGACAAACTTGTATGAAGTAATCAGTTCATAGAAAACCAACTTCACAATGTACATTAATTTATTTTAAAACCCCATGACTTCTGAATTATTTTCTCTTATKTGCCCAGTGCTGATTGGTGGAAGAAAACAATGCAATCCTTAAGTTACCAGAACATCATGGCACCACTAGCAAAACCATCAGTTACAAAGTGCAATAGTGCCAATCACTTTCGGTTTGTTCTAATTCCTCTTTCTAATGCCTTTAAAAGGCTTAAAAAGGCAGCCAGACAAATAAAACACATCACCTTCAAAGACTCTGTATGCTGGAAACATTGTTCTGCTTTCAGCACTCTAAACCCTGATCTAGAGTATGCTACAGCAAAGCTGGAGGGACTGTAATGGTAAAAAGCATTTTAAACCCCCCAGCAAGCTCAGGGATGGTGTTACTCACCCGTGACAAGGTATCGTGTCCTGGTCTGGGATTCTGGACTCTTCCAGCTGCTGATATGCTGGTCCTGTAATTCCATTGAACCTACCCCGAGGCAAGGGAGGAGTCCTCCGAAAGGCATTTCTGTGGAGCATCCCACTCTTCTGTCCTGGGCTGCAGCATGAAGACAGACTTCTAGGAACAACACCAAGAAAAATTACCACACTAAAAGCATAAAATTCTGCAAGTAAAGGTTCAGGATTAATAATGCATGGATTACTGTTATTATAGACTGTGCTGTGGCAGTCTGTGATGTCAGTAGAAATTCTCTGTGGAAATATAATTGCACAATCCWCCATTAGTTGCTGTTTATGCTGTATTTAATACATCACCTCTTTTCTAGGGATGAAAATAATTGCCCAATATATGAAATGTTTTCTTACACTTGATGAAGGATGCTTCTCTTTTCCATGCTGCATATCATAACCCTGCTATGCAGAGTCCTCAGACAACATAAACAAACAGCACAGCTCTGTCATACCCACAGCTGAACTCAAAATCAGCTCCTAAACTGAAAACCCAATATATCATCTATCAGCCTATGACGTGCTGCTTCCTGATACAAAACCATAAAATTGAGAAAAAGTGCAAGTGAAGAATGTAAGTGAAGCTTGTGAACTGCAGCTTGAAGAAGCCATCTAAGACAAGTTTTCTCCACCTTGAACATGATTTCTATATTATTTCTTGTTTTATACACACATTGCTTTCTTGTTTATATACATTGATAAATACTGTGCTGTTTCTTTACATGATATAATAGAAACTTGAATTTGATAAAAAAAAGGTAATAGTTTTCTACTTAGTTTAGAAAATTGGTTTTGTAAATGTTTGGTGCTTTGGAAGGAGAACGGATTTTATTTTCTTTCCCATTTCAAGCAGGAATTGAAAAGTATCTACAATCCATTGTTTCAGCAYATAAACCATAAATTCAGCTGTTGCCAGTGCAAATATATGGGAACACAGAACTAAGGCAAGGCATAACCTATTTTTACTGTTAACAGGTCTCAGCAATGCATGGCGTGACTGGTTATTAATTTTTCAGCTATTCCTATTTCTCTTAGCATCTTCTGGGCCTCAGAAATGCATAACTCATATTCTGTTACATCTTTAATGATAMCTTAACATAGGTTTTGTAGATGCCGTTCACGAGTCATTATTTTTGCCTGTGTGAATAATTCCAGCTTCTCATAAAATTCAGCAATAAAAAAGACTTTTGATAAGCTTGCTTCCTTTTTCCTATTATAATGTGACTTAAAAGTAATCTGCATTTTTTACCGAGTGGGAACTTTATTTATAGTTAGGGCCCCATCTACTCCCAAAGCAATTCTTGCTTGGAAGTACCTTGGACAAATTCTCTTTGAGTGTACATTTCCATTAAAATCAACCTTCCCTGCCCAAAGCTAAAATAAGAAATAAATTCAACAGTTTCTGTCCTACTGCTCAGGCTAGCAGTGTTCCATTGCTGTCTAAGCTCTGTTTTCTTCCACACCTTKACTTTTCTAGTGCTTTTTAATTGAAAAGACCAACAACCCATAGCAATAGCATTCCCTCCAGGATTTTTCATGCTTCCTTAAAAAGATCTTTCCTTTGCTACTGAGAAAGCTGTGAAAAAAACATTTTTAGAAAATTGAAGTATTTCTTAAAAATCCTTTTTAAAAACCTGAGGTATTTTAGTTCTGAAATCTGAGTTCAATTTATGAGTTACAGTTCATATTCTGTAAAATAACACTACCACATCACAAAATAATTGACTATTTCTGCTTAGGAGAGCCTGAGATTAATTCAGCAGGGGATCGCAAAAGATGAAGGAATAATTAGTGATGGAAAATGAATTTTTGGGTTTTTAGTGACTGGAGCACATTCATCAATGTACTACAAAAGTAGAGAAACAAACTTTAGGATGATTTCAAATCTTTGAAACTGGAAATTTCAATTGTTTAATTTGTGGTTGGTTTGATGCTTTTGAGCATCTTCCTTGCTGGATGAGAGCACATGGTCTCCTATMCAATAATATGCATATGCAAATTCACAAAAGCTCTCTTTCTAATTGACATAATGCCAACACATACAGCTACTCCCAAGGTGATGGRTACAAAATCTGAGACCAAAGGGATCTGTCACCATCCTGTAACCACAGAACTTCCAGCATCGACAGTCTAAGCAAACAATTTGTTGCTAATGGGAGGTTTCTTATGCTTTCAACATTTCTGACAGGAAAAAAAAAACAAAAAGAAAAAACAAAAACCTGAGGGGAAAAATGAACAAAAATCATTTGTGGTCACGGACAAGACAAATTCACTAAGGATGAGGAAATACTTACAGATGGTGCAGCTGCAAGCTGCTGGATAACACTCGTTTCTTCAGGCACCGAAAACAAGACTAACAATTTCTGTTAAAAGTTCTAGCATAGTAAAGCTTTTCCTTTTAYACAAAACCGATAGGAACAGCAGCAATGCAAATAGAATATCCCTCTCAGACTTCTCTATTGCTCATGTGAAGAATTCCTCCCTCTCAGACAAACAATGCCTTTTGAATTTCTTGAGGGAATTTATTTTCCTTTAGCTACCATTATGATTTCTCCCTCCCTGCTCTCCAGTCTAAGTAGGTAAAACAAAGCAGCCCACATAACTRAGCCATTCAGTAAAATAAACCAATACATAAAGTAGTAGCAGATTTGTCCTTAAAATCTATCAATCAATTACTCTAGAAAAAAAACCAAAAAACCAGAATATGCATGGTTGCATACTGGTTCACAAGTGACGCATGAGCTAGGGAGAAATACAGTTCTGATGAATTAATGTTTTGGAAAAAGCAGTTCAACCATCTAMAGTTAATTAAGAACTTGGGATTCATTGCTGCAAATTGTTTTCTGCAAAGATTTTCTTTGGGTTGAGAAACTGAGTGAAAACAAAGTCTGATCCTTGGGGTGGAGTATTCTCTTCTTGAGGCACAACCACAGCTGCAAGTACAGTTAACCATGCCCATGAAGAGAAGAGCAGCAGTGTTTTTACAGTGACTCTGGGATCTTTCTGTACCATTTTTTAGTTAATTACAAACCACCCAGTAAACACATTCCCAGTGACAGAGCCAGCTGCCAGACAGACAGTGCYCCCTGACGTTCTCTGGAATCCACCTTTTTAGGCTGTTGGACAATCTACTGCTAACCTTTGTATGATCAACAACTACTGAGACTTTCAACCAATTTTAAGAATTAATAAAAAGAAGCTCTAACCTGAGAAGAGAAGCATCTCTCAATAAACCAAATAATGCAGTACCTGSTGCCCTTTGGTCAGACTGTTCACAAAGCTGAGATGGCACACACTGAGCCTGTGTACAGACAGCTCCCCAAAGGCAGAACCTCAGCACAGTGTTTGGGACTTCAACAAAGCTCGATGTGATYAAAAATAAGCTAAGACTGTAAGGAGGCTTTTATGCCTAAAAAGATGTTGCATAAAAGAACTGAAATTAATAGCTGGAACCCTTTTTTCTCTATAGCATCCTGTGACCCAAGCATTTAAACACTGCTCTTTCCATGCTGTTGCCAAGGGATCTTGTCCTGTCTCAACATGAAACCCTCTCAGTGACATGTGGCATGTGTGTTTCCAGGCTTGTGCTTATCAACTGGCACAGTTGGTCAAGCTCTCAGCCAAGAGATGGAGTGGTATTCTCCAAAACTCTCTCCTCCATAAGTAGGAGAAGCTCTCCAGCAGCCAGCCTGCAGCTACAAATCTACTCTTGATTTCTGAAATGTCAGCATTATTGATTCCACTATGATAATTCTTGTATTTGGGAATAGCCTGTGTTGGGGGTACTCAGGGACTGTGAAATTCTACAACAATCCTTCAGTGCTACCTGTACCATCTGCTCCCCATCCTGGTGACAGAACAACAGGAAAAGGGAACAAAGCATTCGAGGAACCTCCATGGCACTGAATTTACTCATCTGCCACAACCTCATCACAGACTCCCTGTGGTGCACTGAGCAACCTCTATCCTAAAATGATGACAAATACAACCAGCAGTGCAAACGCTGCAGTACCCAATGTTGGTAATGAACAATTGTTTGCYTTTTTTATATCTACCCCAAGAATCTGCTTCCCCCACATTTGTCTTAAAGTCTTGTCTGCACAAATTCAATGTAATTGGTTCCTAGTTACTTTGATAATTCTTCATCTTCCTAAATATTTGACACTTGCTAATCCATCACCTCATTTCACGGTTCCCATTTTTATAGATTTGGCTCCCAGACATGAAATTTCATGAGCTGGTTCTTCTTCCAGATTTTTTTTTTTTTTTTTTTTTTTTTTTTTTAAATCAAGATTAACCAAAGCATCTTGAAAGCTTTGATTTCCACATTTTAATTCTGCTTTGACTGTAGTAATGTATATTTTCATACATTTATATCTGTTCATACTCTACCTTTGTCCTCAAATAGTCATCCTAACTTAAGAAATGAAATCCATAATTCAGGATTGCTATAACTGCTTCAATTATTATTTCTCYCCCACCATCAGCTTTACTTTTTCCTGTATGGTACTCCTATATTTTTTTTTCACAGTGGGAACTATTGATTGCTTTCAGTATTACCAGTAATTATTAACTCTCAGTGATTCCTGGAAATGTTCACTTCAAGCATGATTTGGCCTCTGTGATGTAGCTTGTTTCTTTCCCTACATACTATTCCTTTTAAACATTACTTTTAGCAAAATTCTCCAGAAAATTTGGGAAAATAGCAGATTCCTTAGAGCTTCCTCAAGTTTCCTCTGCCTTTACATTCTCAGGGGCTTTAGTTTATCTGTATTTCATTTTTGAAATTCAATAGCCTTATTTACAGAAAAAACTTCAATTTACTCTTTACTATAAACTGAATCACTTATATTAGCAACATAAAGAGTAAAATGCTTACTTACCACATGAAAAAATACTTCTCATGTTTTTTGTGGTGTTAAAAGGTCATTAAAAAATGAAAACACRAATAATTTTTAATTTTAGAGTAAGTTTATCCTATTTTGGCATTTTTGTAAGACAATAGAACTGCTCCAGGCTGAAAGCCTCTGCATTTGGCTTTCATCGTGACATTCTCTGGAATGAATCCCTCTAAAATCAAGGATGACTGAATCAATGAATGAAAGTCAGGATGACTAATTACCAAGAAAACTGCTATTCAAAGGGATCACAATTCAACCCATAATTAGCAAAACTCTAATTTGTTTCTATCTGCTAGAAAATAAGACCGTATGGGTTTCCTTCTTACCAAAATCAACAGATAATCCAAGGCAAATTTTTGAGCACATTGTATACTTAGCAGGAAGTTTACTGATTAAACACATTTGTGAATTTTGAATTCTGACAGCCCTAAGATTTACTTTACATATGCAAGCACAAGTTGTAATATTGTAACARTAGTGCATAATGCAGGCAAAATATTTTAGGAGATTAATAACATAGAGGCAAAATATTTTTTGAGGTTAAATTTCAATTTTAAACTTAATCTCTGCATTAATTCTTTTTGTGCAGCTGAGGTTGGTGGAGACAGAAAACTGCTATTATCCATACTCTGAATGAAATAATGATATGGTCTCTGTCACTCACATTTCAGCAACTCCAAATGATTCCCCACATTAACAGCCTTACTGCCAGAATTGTATTAGTTTGAGGATCTGGAAACAGCCAACTCCTGATTTTGGAAATGATCTCACATCATTAGTGTCCTTGAAACCACCAGCAGAGAMAACAGGTCTGCATGGGCAACAAAGTATTTCCGTAGCAGAAAGAAAACAGCAACAGAATTTAATGGCAGCATAAAAGAGAGAACCTGCAGAGCTGATAYAATTTTTCCAGGCTAGGCAGGTTTGGAATTAAATGAAGGGATATTTTAGTGTAAAATCCTCATTTRGCCACATTTGACTGTTTGTCCACAGTGAACACTATTCAGAAACTAAATTAGGAAGCTRTCACATGGTGCATCAATTAAAGACAATCCTAAAAGCCTTAAATGTTCAGGTCTGTTGCATGTTTTATAAAGCAAAGGCCTTGTATAATAAATCTGAAGCTTTAAAACTACAAAACARTTCTTTATAATTTAACTAGTCATTCCACTTCTTCCATTAGTTCTGAAGGAAAGATATTTCTTGGATATTGCAATCATACTATTAAAGGTAAGGGAATGCCACGGTGTTTTTTTTCTGAACTTCATATTGTGACTAAATGGTGATTAAATTCTTCCCAGAACTTCTGCAGAAAACATTCTAGGCAACACTCCCACAGTTCATCTATGTTTAATAAAATTATTAAGCATATTTTGAAAATCTCTGTGTAATAAGAAAAAGACCTAAGAAATGGATCTGACATGACAGCTGGCATTATTTTTTTATGCCAAATTATAGGCTTAAGTAAGGTAAAAGTAGACAGGACCCAAACACCCCTTTCTGGCTCATATGTGGCACTTTGTAGGTTAAGCAATCACTCTTCAAATGAAAAAAAATCACGTAGCTGCCTGAGAGACTGCACTGAAAATGCATCAAATGCTACAGAAGCCAGATCATAACCTCATGCAATCCCAGACTTTAYTTTTTTAGTGATTAAAAACACCAAATCCTTTTATTAAACAAGTCTTCCCCTCCAGATTATCTAGCTGAAAAAATTCCAAACTCATTTTTCTCAACCTTTTTTCTCTCTCTCTGTGCACTAGACCAGATGTTACCACTGTCATTCAACCAACACTATTGCTTATACTGGATTCCAGTTTTTGGTTCCTAGTCCTGTAATGAAACACCTGCACYCTTTCTCATCCAAAAAAATGCTATAAGCAGAATTCTAATCTGAATGTCATCTGGTGATGGGTGACATTCCTTTTTTTTTTTTTTCTTTCTCTTGGAAACAACCATCCAAACTTTTTTAAGCCTAGTTTTCAAAGGTCACATTTTCATCAGTACTTATTCCACGTATTTGTTTAAAGGAAAAGGCTGGAAGTTTGCAACCAAGCCTTTCTGCACCAAATGAGTCACTAACTTCATGAACATCAATGAGGAATGTCTTGTTTTTTATGGTTTCTCTTTGGCAGCTGGGATGGTGTCTGCAAACGCCTCCTGTAGGGCTGTCACAAACTGCAGAGGACAGCAGAGAGCGTGGCCACTGCCTTTTGTGTCTGCAGATGAGAAAAGGCTGGGACATGTGCAGGGTTTGGA